TCTGAAAATGTGTTTATAGTAACAAAGCTCTGTATAGATTATGATGCAACGCGTTGTTGCTTTCGATTTTAGAACCTGAAATTTGCTTTGCAAATGTGTGGAATCTGCGTGCTAGAAAGAGCCTCTGTGCTTTTCACACTGTGCTGATACAGTCAAGTGAAACATGCTAAATTAGCTAACCTAGCTTGCTAAATCAGTCAAAATAGACGAAGCTGAAGTCAGCTTCTTATTCGCATTTACCCGTCCCACCTTAAATGATGTACATTCTGGCGCCTCAGAATGCAGCTACTGAGCCATTTAAGGTGGAACGGGAAAATTCGCTGGCGAATATGAAGCTGACTTCAGCTTCGTCCAAACTAGTAAACTAACCTATGTTACTAACCAACCAGAAATGCCTTCTAGCTAATTTACTTTAGAGCTTAGACTTATTTACAGAACGTCTGTATAAAACATCCGCAGCTGCTTTGTGGAGGGCTGGTCAAGAGCAGCTTTCAGCCTAACTCTTTTTAGCTAACTTAGCTAACGTTAGCTAACACAGCTAGCTAACTTAGTTCTCAGTGAGAGAGCAGTTCGTTCAGAAGCTGCTGTCAAGCCAGACATACACTGCGATTTTAGAAATCTTGTTCTTGGTGACAGCTTACACTGTACGTCTGAATCAGCCATAAAGCAACGTTACGGCCAAAGCCTGTGGTTTATCTGCTCAGACTGTAGAAGAGGACAGCGCTCTGTCCCACTGCTCACACTGCAGGTGACACCGGGCCCTAAACACAGCTGTCTACAGAAATGTCCAATAAAGTTGTTTCATTCAAAACAACAACATGCCGCATCCGAGTCTCGAGCAAAACAGTGGCTGAATCTCTAATGGCTTCCCGCTCCCTACGTAGTGCACTACATAGGAATTAAAACAGTGGCTCCTGCACCCGAACAGTGCATCATGTGTCAAATAAATAGCCATGTGGGATTCAGCCATGTGTGCCCAATTCCATATTGAACACATAGTGCACTGTTTTAGTGTAGAAGCCAGAACTTAATAGCTAGTGCACTATATAGGAAGGAGGGGAACATTTGAGATCCAGCCATTGTTGAACCGTTTACTATGACAGCTTTGCTAACTTTTGCCACACTAAAACTAAAAACAAGGCGGCCTACATCCAGTTTTACAAAGACGATTTAAAAAATAAGCCATATTTACGTTTATATATCGCAATTCCATTCAGTCAAACGGGAAAAAGTCGGCATATACGGACACTGGTATCGCAAATGTCGACTCTTTGCATCCGGTTGTGTGTGTTCACCTGTGTAGGAGCAGTGGTCGTGATTGTGTGCGGTTTTAGGACTTTGAGAAGTCGGTTGGTGAGACCTGCTCAAACTCTGAGACATGCGACCACAATTTCTCACTTGTCAGAAATCTATCTGCCCGTCCTACTGCTCAGAAGAAACTGGTTTGGGCGGTTAAAAGAGCATCGCTGACCCTCTCACACTGTACGGCCCACGACGGCCAATGAAGCTGAAATTCGGCCCGAATATGAAATTCAGTCCGCTCCGAACAAACCGGGTTAAAATCGCAGTGTCTGCCGGGCTTGACCATGCCAGATCAGACTCGTAATGACGTCACCGTTGCAAACACAGACAAAACAACGCAGTTTTAAATAACGGAAATAACGGCGAGGTTTTCGTCATGAATTACGATAAGAGAAAACAGCACTGCTTCACTGTCTTCACCGGACGGAAGGGTAAAGCCCGATCAAGTGAACGAGATGACCAGCAGATTTACCTCCTCACTTTGTGAAGACGGACATTTCTTCTTGAGCCGACTGCGGTTCACCAGGTTGCCCGTGTGTAGCCTCAGAGTTGTGGCATGGTCGAGTAACATCTTCGCGTAGACGTGAGGCTCCATGTCCAGCAGCCTGATTATACAGAAATAATTCGCTGGAGTGTCTTCAGACTATTTAGTTATAATCTCAATATGGCCACGCAGACCGCGATTCCCGTGGCTCTGCGCTCAGAGGTTTGGTATGACTCTGCATTTGTAGCTTCGTTCATTCACTACATTGAAGGCGAAAGCGATAATGAGCAGGACGCCAGACTGGAGCGGGCAGCAGAGAAAACCCGGACTGGAATCGGATCAGTCAAATTACATTTTGCCGGTCACCATGACGTGGCATATTTTTTTCCACAGTGTTTGAACCAAAGTATGACAGAGGAATACGTCAGCAAAAATACAAGCTATATATATATATATATATATATATATATATATATATATATATATATATATACACATCTCTAATAGCATATAGTAATGTAGTGGTAAAATAGTAAGGAATGGAGCTTATGAAAGCCTTTTAGCTTGCCTCTTATAATTAAAGTGTTGAAATGTAGGGTTTAAATTTACACTTTGTCAAGTCCTTTCAGGACTTATTTACAATAACATATATAAATAAATATACTTTCTTTGTATCCACATCCATGTTGTCAGGTCTATATAGGTGCACTTTGTAGTTCTACAGTTATAGATTGTAGTCCATCTCTTTCACTGCATAATTAGCTCTATTTTTACTCTGTTCTTCAATGATTAAGACCCCCACAGGTATTATTTGCTGGAGTTTTCACTGAAGTGTCACTGCTGGACTGAGAATAGTCCATACACCAAAAACATTCAGCGTCCAGCAGCCAGAAGCTGACCACAATCAAAGGATGATTAACAAAAACTTCAGCAATACATTCGCTATCGTCTCTAATTTCACATCCACAAGTTGACCAACAAAGTAGGTGTGTCTGACAGAGTGGAAAGTAAGTGGAACTGTTTAAAAGCGTACCTGCTCTGTGGTGGTCCTGAACATGTGCAGAGAAACAGATGGGCTATAATATGTAATTGTGGAACTACAAAGTTGTGGTAAGTTGAGCTGGACAAATGTACAATGGGTGTAGGTGCAAGGTAGGTGTACCTCATGTGTCATAAATAAGTGCTTGTAGAATGAAATTGGCCCTTGAGAAGCATATTCTCAAAACATGAAAGGAATCCTTCTGTGACAAATTAAATTTGCACAATTTTCCACTTATCCCAGAAGTAGCCAATCAGCCAAGACATTTGGTGCTTCTTTAGGTTAGCACTGGAGCTATGAGGCTAACATTTTTAACAAACACTAGGAATCAATGATCACAAAACAAGTCTGTTTTCTGTAAATACGTCCTCAAAACATCTCTCAAGCCGCTCAAACCGTGCCCAAGGTCTTCAATAAGGACATGAAGACTTGTTGATGTAGTTTAGGACACAGCATGACGTGTGTGAACATGGAGTCAGAATTTGACTGACTGCAGCATACAGTGTTTGTACATGTTAATGAAGTTGTGTGAAGCTCATTGATAACCAAAGAAAGTTAAAATTATGCACTGCCATATGTCAGAAAATTATTTTTACAAAAACACATTTTTTCTTGGGTTTAAAGCAGAAATAATCTTTATTTGACTACATTTTAAATACGATAAAGTTTAGCACATTTGTTGTTTACAAAATGTTTATTTTCTGCACAGTAAACAAATGAATTATTCGCCAAAATGTTACTAATTTTTTTCAACAGAATCAGTTATTAGCATTTTTCTGATTTAGCTGCTCCATTACCAAACACAAGTCAACATTTTAATTTAGTGATATGTATTTTCATCTGGTCTTTGAAAAAAATGCATAACAGGCTTATAGTAATATGTGGAGTAATTTACTGATGTAGCTCCTCTGTACAGGTATAAACAGGATAAATGACCAGCAAAGGCTGTTTGTAAATCTTTTGTAGGCTGTGAATAGAAATAAATTGTGTATATTACTAGATTACATGTTTTTTTTACAGTTAGACTTAACTTTCAGGAAAAAGGTACTTCTGTAGTTACAGATTAATTAGAGAGAAAGGTTTAAACAATCATTAATGCCAAATGCTTACATTTTAGCATTTTGGCCCATCCCGTTTCTTATTTTTACCCCTACTCCTTGTTTTTGAGTGTCATGTTGCCCCTTGGAACTGAGTCACGAAGGGTAGTGGTTGAAATCTTCCCCTAAGAAATGGGACAACCCACAAATACAGAAGAGCATTACTTCACTACTAGGCTACTAGCGGTGCTCTGCAGGCAACCCTGCCAGTCTGCAGTGATAGCAAAGGAGGGTAAAGTTCAGCAACCTCACTGCTGGGCTTTAGTTACATTTAGAGAATCCTATGCCTTCAAAGAGGTGGATGCGATAATTATTTATTATCACCCACCCCTAAGTCTTCAGGGATATCAAGCTGAAGTCAGCTATTCGCAAGCTTCTTGTTTGAATTTTCCTGTTCCCCCTTAAATGGAGCAGCAGTTACATTCTGGTGCTTCAGGCGTCAGTACTGCTGGACTATTTAAGGTGGAACGGGAAAATTAGCTAGCTATCTATCAAGACATCAGCATACTATTAGCGAATTTTTATGCTTGTTATGACGAAAAGGACCATAATACATTGAAACGACATTAAACTAAGACAATACAATGGTTATCGAATTTTATAACAGAGAACATACTTACAATTGTGAATTTCTTTGACCACTTGGGCAGCCATTTTGCCGGTTTTTCTTTTTTTCTCATAACACTCTGTTTGTGTGCCTCTGAAAAACCTCCATTTGGAGGGCCATGTAGCCCTAACATTTGCCCTACCCCTCTATCTCAACACAAATCGGGACAACCTACCCCCTGGGCCTGAACACATAAAACGAAGGGGTATGGGCTAAGTGGTAGGGGCAAGGGGTGAAATTGGATTGGGCCTTTGTGTGCACAGACATGTAGTGTGGAATTAATATGTCTGTGCTAGTTGTGTACATTGCATTTTTTTTTATTAAGTATTATGGACATCTTAGAAAATAACTGCCATTAAGATTAATGATTTTGATTTGTCAGTCTTATTTCATATGTACAGTACTGTATATTCTAGTGTTTTATCTATTATCATGGCTCAGGTACTCTTGAAAGTGACCCAAAACACCCAGTAAAGCAGATATTTGCCATGTATTTCTAATTGTTATTCTCAAGCAAAGTAGCCCCAAAGAAACACATTAACAGTGAGCAGAATGACGGCATTAATATTGCAAACATTTTTCCAGATGTGGTTTTCCTCAATGCTGGTCAGCTTCTTCTCCAGAGCCTGCTTTTCAGCTGAGCTTAGCTTCGGCCCGGGTGCTTCAGACAGCCCACACAGCCACATTCCCACACGCCTCCAGCACGAAGGCCTGTCCTGCTCCAGCTGTGAGTCAGAGCCAGCAGGGTTGGGGTCTTCTGCTGCAGGTGGGGTTGCCCACGGATCCTCCAGATCTACACGCTGCTCCTTGCTGTATCTTGTCCACCAGGTTAAACGAATAAGCTGCAGAGAAGTGTAGGTTCATTGGTGTGAATAAATGTCACAGTGGACATTATTGTTTAATATATTGTAAGCTAACTAATTAGGACCAGCAAACGTGTTGTGTTTTTTAAACACAAGCTCTTATCTTCAAAAACAAAAGTTTTATTCTTTCAACTTTTGGTGACTGAGGTTAAGGTTAGGGTTAGGCTTAGAAAATTCTTATTACATAGAGGGAATCACATATCATCACTGTCATATCAAAACCAGTAACACAATACCACTTTTGTTTTCTGTACAAACACTGATACTGAAACCTTCTGCATTGTGACAATAGGATTCAATATTTTTTTTCTTTAAATACTAAAGCTTTAGGCGTGAGGCAGAAAGTAGGCTATACATTCTCTTCTTTTGAAGTCCTTTTTCTTAATATAAGTGATCAAGGAACACATAAAAATTCCTTTACACTAATTACAGTCTACAGGCCACCAGGGCCGTATTCTCAGTTCTTACAGGAATTCTCTGAGTTTCTATCAAGTCTAATAACGCTTTCAAATAAAATAATAGTTGTCGGAGATTTTAATATCCATTTAGACAATCCCCAAGATGCACTAAGCAAGGCATTTATATCTATCATAGACTCCATAGGTTTCACCCAAATCATAAAGGGGCCCACACACTACCACAACCACACTCTAGACTTAATACTGACTTTTGGTGTAAACATAGATAACTTAGCCATTCTCCCCCAGAGCACAGCAGTCTCTGACCATTACTTAATCTCTTACGAAATTCACTTTAGTGGTAATGTGCGTTCATCACCATGTTATTGTGTCAAGCGGACAATAACTCCCTCCACAGCTGGTGGCTTTATTAGAAACCTTCCTAAATTATCAGCCGCTCTCATCTGTCCATCTAATCCTACTGAGCTAGATGCTATGACCAAGCTCTTAGAGAATAGTTTTCGATCTACTCTAGATAGTGTGGCCCCATTAAAAAGTAAAATAGTAAGGCAGAAAAAACTCGCCCCCTGGTATAATGACAACACTCGGGCTTTAAAACAGAACGCCAGACAACTTGAGCGTAAATGGCGCCTGACTAAGCTAGAAGTGTTCCAGTCCGCCTGGAAGGAGAGCCTTACAGACTATAGACAAGCACTTGCTACAGCACGCTCAGCTTATCTCTCCTCTCTCATAGAAAACAATAAGAATAATCCTAGATTACTTTTCAGCACAATCTCTAAACTAACAGAGAACAAAACAGTTAGTGAACCCCAGATGCCATCAGCCTATAGCAGCAACGATTTTATGAATTTCTTTAGTGATAAAATTGAAAAAATTAGGCAGAAAATTCAGAATACGCAATTAAACTCTAGAAACCTGCTTCCCCATAATGCCAGCCTCAACCTTGAAAATATTATAATATTCCTGCAGAGAGGCTGGAATCGTTTACCTTACTCCAAGAAAATGAACTATTTAAAATAGTCTCTTCCGCGAAATCATCTACCTGTATGCTAGATCCGATTCCTACAGGTTTACTCAAGGAAATTCTGCCAGAAATAACCAAGCCTATTCTGTCAATAATAAACTCTTCTCTTAGCCTTGGGTACATCCCAAAATCTCTTAAACTAGCAGTAATTAGACCTCTGATTAAGAAAGCGAACCTCGATCCATGCGAACTTTCAAATTATAGACCCATCTCGAATCTCCCCTTTATATCTAAGATCTTGGAAAAAGTTGTAGCAAAACAGTTAAGCTCCTTTTTACATAGGAATCAAATACATGAAAAATTCCAATCTGGTTTTAGGCCACATCATAGTACAGAAACAGCACTAGTAAAAATTGTAAATGATCTATTATTATTTTCTGACCAAGATCATGTGTCCTTGTTAGTCCTCCTCGATCTTAGTGCGGCATTTGACACAATAGACCACACTATCTTACTAGACAGACTAGAAAACCTTGTAGGGGTAACAGGAACAGCTCTTTCCTGGTTCCGGTCCTACCTCACTGATCGGTATCAGTTTGTTAATATAAACGGTGAATCATCTGTTCTCACAAAAGTAAAATATGGTGTTCCACAAGGCTCTGTTTTAGGACCTGTATTATTCACTTTATATATGCTACCACTGGGCACCATTATCAGTAGACACGGCATAAACTTCCACTGCTATGCCGATGACACTCAGTTATATTTAACAAGCGACCCAGATGATAGAATTAAACTTAGCAAGATTGAAGCCTGTATACAAGACATAAAGGACTGGATGTCGAGTAACTTTCTCCTTCTAAACTCAGATAAAACAGAGGTTCTGCTTCTTGGTCCAAAAGCAGCCAGAAACAAACTGTCTAATCTAACACTTAAACTTAACAATTTCTCAGTTGCATCAAGCTCATATGTAAAAAACCTTGGTGTCATTATAGACCCTGATCTGTCCTTCGACACACATATAACTAATATTACTAGAACAGCCTTCCTGCATCTTCGCAATATTGCTAAATTGAGAAATGCATTATCTCTACAGGATGCAGAAAAGTTAGTTCATGCATTTATTACTTCAAGGCTGGATTACTGTATTGCCCTGCTGGCTGGATGTCCCAGCAAAAGCCTTAACAAGCTTCAGCTAGTCCAGAACGCTGCAGCCAGAGTTCTTACTAGAACCAGAAAGTTTGACCATATCAGCCCAGTTTTATCAGCCTTACACTGGTTGCCAGTAAAATTTCGGATTGATTATAAAATTCTCTTGCTGACTTATAAAGCACTAAACGGACTCGCCCCGCTGTACCTGAGTGAACTTCTCTCTCACTATGAACCATCCCGCCTACTTAGATCACAAGGTGCTGGCTTACTATTAGTACCCAGAATTAATAAAGTTACGTCAGGGGGCAGAGCTTTCTCATACAAAGCCCCCCAGCTTTGGAATAGTCTTCCTGTTAATGTTCGGGACTCAGACACAGCCTCAGTCTTTAAGTCTAGGCTAAAAACCTACTTGTATATTCAAGCCTTTGGTAATTAGTTTTCCCTGTTAGTTCTATACCTGCCAGAGTCTCTGCTAACACTGTAATTTGTGATCGGTCACCCATTACAGAACTGACTCTGTGTGTTTTCCTCTCTATGTGTTTTCCTTTCTTTTCTTCGCCGAGTTGAACAGCTGCCCATCCTGTGCGTTCTGATGCTGCTGCCTTTTCTGCCTCGATCGGGTGCCACTGCTCGCCAGCCCTCTGGACCGGGTTACCAACATTGAGCCTCCTGCTGTACAACGCCGTGCAAACCTCACCCTCACAACCTGACCCCACTGATACTACTGCTGTTGCTGCATGAACTATTCAAAATTATTCACTTGAACCAATCAATCATTCAAACTAATTCAAATTAATCAATCACCCATTGACTGTGTTTTTCCTCTCTTTCTTTTGCCGAGTTGAACAGCTGCCCATCCTGCTGCTGATGCTGCTGCCTCTGCTGCCTTGATCGGGTGCCACTGCTCACCGTGCAAACCTCACCCTCACAACCTGCCCCCACTGATGCTGCTGCTTCTGCTGCATGAACTGAACTATTCAAATTAATTGTTTCCTTCACGTTTTACCCTGTTTTTGTACTATAATACTTTATACTAACAATGTTTACTATCCGGTGTCGACCAGAGGAGGATGGGTTCCCCTTCTGAGTCCTGGTTCCTCTCAAGGTTTCTTCCTGTTTCTCTTAGGGAGTTTTTCCTTGCCACTGTCGCCACTGGCTTGCTCATGGGGGCTCGGACCCGGACTTCTTTTTGTAATGCTCATATCCTTGTAAAGCTGCTTTGTGACAACACCTGTTGTAAAAAGCGCTATATAAATAAACTTTACTTACTTACTTACTACTGAGCTATAAAATGAACCTAAGCACTTCAATTAAGGATTAATTTAATGCTGAAACTACTCAAACACTCTAATACTCCACAGGAAGAAATACACAGCTAATAATTTGACATCACACAATGTGAGTGTGTGCTATTTTAGGATAGGTGTTACAGGACTGGATTAATTTTTTCCCTCTGATATAAGATCCAGTGAGGTTTTTCCCTATTTTTCTCCCCAGTTTAGTCAGGTTCAAGTTCCTGTCCCTCTAGCTCGGTCTTTCCCCATCACACAATACTACCAGCATTGGAAGGTGAAGGCTTCCTCCAGGACAGGTGAAGCCAACTTCTTTTTTCAAACAGCTTTTCAACAGCTCAACATGCTTTGATGAGCTGACCATTCTGTTATGTCAACAAACAGACACCCATGCTGGCTAGCATTGTGTTAAGTTATGGGGTGAGAGCGAGGCCAGTTGTGCTCTGTGGCCTCCTGTCAGTGGTGGTATGGACAGGGATCGAACTTGCGATCTCGACGATAGAATGCTCATATCAAAACCAGTATCACAATACCACTTTTGTTTTTCTGTGCCAATACTGATATTACAATCTTCTGTTTCATGCCAATAGAATGCAATATTTTTTGTTTTTAAATATGAGTAAGCTTTAAAATTAACAGAAGCACTTCACTTAAGAACTTAATTTTAATACTGAAACTACTCAAACACTCTAATACTCTACAGGACCAAATACACAGCTAACAATATGGCATCACACGATGTGAGTGTGTGGTATTCTACGATAGATTTGTTATAGGACTGAATTCATTCTTTTTTTTTTTTGCCATTTTTCCACAATTTTCTCCCCAATTTAGTCCAACTTCATATCCCTCTAGTGAGGTCTTTCCCCATCACACAATACTATCAATATTGTAAGGGTGATGGCTTCCTCCGAGACACATGAAGCCAGCTTCTTTTCAAACAGCTCAACATGTTTGGATGAGAAAACACTAACTGACAACTAACTCACACTGTGTTGAGTTATGGGGTGAGGGCGAGACCAGTTGCTCTGCAGCCTCCTGTCGATGGTGGTATGGGCGGGAATCGAACTTGCCATCTCTTGACATTAGAATGCTTAGATGGTCATGCCACTCATGAGATTTTCCGCTAATCTTGGCCTGACACCGATACTAAACAATACCCAGTATGCCATCTATATATGAAAATGCCAGCTACATTATATTACATTGTACATTCATACAATGTCACATTATATAAACATTTTGATGAATGGATGAATAGACCAATAGAAATGCTCTAAAATACTTAATATAAATCTGTAATATAATTTTGTTATCATAGTACCTTGTTCTAAGACACCTTGCACATAATACATTTGGCAATATGTGTGTATGTGTGTGTATGTGTGTGTGTGTGTGTGTGTGTGTGTGTGTGTGGAGAGGGTGAGAAATCCTTACATGTTGGTCTGGAATGGGGGCAGTGCAGAGGCTCACTACAATAATGACCAGGCCTGTCAGAGCTAGCAGAATGAGAGCAAAGTAGAGGTAGTGCACGTCTTTCAGAAGATCCGGCCGCAAGTCCTTCTCCCCACAGGAAGGGGTGCCATAAGCAAACTCCAATACCATTCGTGTGACCCCTATAACTAGACCCACCATCAGACCCCAGAATGCACCCTGCAGAGTTAAACACACGGCCTAATTAGGGAACACAGTTCACATTGAGCACTTGTTAAAAAAAAATGTTAAAGAAAATGTACTTTAAAACGTACTTCCTTAGTTAAACTATCAGTATAAGGAATTTCAACAGTAAGTCATTAGTAGATTGTATTACACTATGATTAACTCAGTGAGAATAAAATAGTAGTGGGTGTTAAAAAAATCTGACAGTTTCTATATTCATAGTATAGTGTATTAATGTATTAATAAAACCACTTTGGATGCTTAAGTAAACCTATTTTTGTATATTAATGATGGCGTATTATTAAGGGAGTTCAGTTTAACAACTGAATTTAATCTAAAAAAATTTTCTTAGGCAAAATAATAAGAACAGAAACAAGGTTTCAAGGTGAGAGAATTTACGTGCTTTGCACTGTATATATGTTGTATATATGTTGCATTATTTGCACTTATTTGTGAAATACTGGTGTAACAGTAATGACAAAACCCATTGCTTAAGATGAATTTCAGATGGTATACTGGATGAACTGAAGTATCGCCCACTACTAGAACAAAGCACACTGACGAGATGATGTCATCAATATAGTAATCTGCACTGCAGGGTGGATAACGTACTTGTTCATTCACTCGTCCCCAGAAGATGGCCATAAGAAACACTGCAGTGATGGGAGGAGCCAAGAAACTGGTTATGGCCTGAATGTAGTCAAAAAGCTGTCCACTGTTGGCTGACTGGATGATTGGAATCCATAAGATGCTCACAACTACCAGCAATAAAACAAACACCCTGTGGATGTACACAAGAACAGACTGTAGGAACAATAGGCTTGATCCTGATCATGGAGACGCAGCATAACATTGTTGTATAAAAACTTTACATTGTGAGGTAAATTAATAACTTTACAGGAGAAGGAAAAACATTCTTACCTTAATATATATATCAGTATCTATAAGTGTAATTGTTTTTCAAAATTTCTATTGCTCCATTCATCATAACATTTTTGCACAATGTAAAGAGTTACTCATGTTTTCATTTGTAATAAAATTAATAATATAAAATCAAAATGGGAAGAATTACCATATAGGTAATTAGAATAAATAGGTAAAATAAATAGGTATAAAATAGAATAAAATTATGAAATTACATTCAAAAATAACTAAAAAAGTTATGATAAAATAGTACCCTTTTAAGATGTTTATATATTCAATTACATTTGTCATGTATTTTGTCTTTTTCCACTTTTGTGTGGGTTTATGTCACAAAAACGTCATTCATCATTCGTCATCATTCATTTTTACATGACCAACAACAACAACATTTATTTGTATAGCACTTTTTATAACGAGTGTTGTCTCAAAACAGCTTTACAGAAAAGCAGTTTTGGAAGGATTAAAAGAATAAAAAGAAAACAAAAAAGAAAATAAAAGAAAATAAAAAAGGAGTCCATGTATAGATGTTTTCCAACTGTTGTTTATCCCTTATTAAACATGTTGTTCTTGTTACTGTGCTTTCAAGAGCAATATGTGTACATGGGCTTTGTTCGTATTAGATGCCCTGTATTGTGCTCTTTTCAAAAAAAAAGTCCAGCCTGAAACATTCCTTATAGTTTTAATGTGAATGGGTGGAGCTAAAATGCTGTATAGGCAGTTGTGTGTAAATGCACTGGTGTTTGTGACAAATGAAAGTAAACTTCTTTTCCTTATATGGGTTGTATGGACTGATCTGAAACTTTAAACCATGTTTACATACTAAATCAAAATCGTTTTTTTTTTTTTTTAAAGTGTGGAAAACTTGTTTTTCTGAGCCCTAAAAAAGACTTATGAAGAAACTTGGCCTCAGTAATTATATGAATTATTGTTATATGAATTATCAGTAAATTAATATCCTTACTGATGTTTTATTATAGTGATCCCATTTTTTTCCTTCTTTATCTGAGTAAATCTCTCCTCAAGGTTTCAAAACTGTTGTGCATTTCATAACATATACTTGAGACTTTGGTGGCGCCAACAGAAGACACTACAGTTACTGATAAAAACAAATGGTATGTTCATCACTGCTGTACAGACGTGTCACTACATAACGCGGAGTGTTCCTACCTGCCTACGACCATGAGCTCCCTCTCAGAGGCCTGGCGTCTTATGCGCTGCCAGATGTCCATGGTGAAGAGGGTGCTGCTACTGTTGAATATGGAGGTGAGGGAGGACATCAGAGCCGCCATCATCACCGCAATCATCAGCCCTCGCATACCTGCCAAGAATATATGGAAAAAAAGAGGGTGAAAAGAAAGAAAAGAATATGCAAAATATTTGGTCATTAATGTAGATAATGCAGAGTTTGCTAACCTTGCTTTGTAAAGAAATACCAAAATCCTAACCTCTAATCAGGGGTGAAAATGTGGTCTGAAAAGTGGGGAAACTGAGGTCAGCAGGCTACAGCCTTCCTACAGTGATTTATAAGTAAAACTAGGTAAACAGAGTATGCCTACAGTTATATAACTACGAGAAACAACCATCTATTTTGGCTTTATGACGTTTTAAAGGTGTGGGAATAAATATGAATATCTGACTACTCTCTCCCAACTCCCAATTCTGAAAGAAGCAATATGTTCAAATTGGTAAAATATAGAAATATATTTTCATATGTCTGAGAAGCCAAGGCTCCGTATGTGGAGCACCAGCAACCACTAACATTGTGGTAAAATTTTATGATGAATGGACAAACAGAAACAGTATAAAATAAACTACTGTCAGAATAAAGCTGCACTATGTAAGTTTTGGGGATTTGGGGACCCCTCTGGTGAAAGTGTGTAATTGCATGAAATGTGCAGAAGAACATTTTGTATTGTTGGTTTTGCTTTGGACTCCTTTCTCGAGCAGATGAATCTGACTTTTGCGAGTGCGTTAAGAGTATTCAAGGAGAACTCAGTAGAAACTTGGAGGATGTGTCTTCTGAGGATTTATCTACCTTTGCCATCATATCTACGCCAGTATAATGTGGATTTTGCATTTCAGACCTAAACATTTAATCATTTTAGCCTGTTTTGTCGCCACTCAGTAATGATGCTTTTTCAATTTCAACAAAAGAAACCTTAGATAGTGCACATCTTGAACTTTTATTGACTTTGACTTGATGTTTTGTTCCTAAATTACATTAATGTTGATACAAATAAAAGTTAAGTTAGTGATAGTGTTAGGCTAGCTGCTTGGCTTAGTGCTGTTGAAACTACTTCAATAATGGTATAATGTTCTTAAATAAATTTCAAAATGAGAAATGTTCGATATATCAAGTAGATTTAAGATGACTTCACTAGCCAAAATAACTTTTTTTGCACAGAGGTGTAAGTAACGAATTACATTTACTCTCGTTACTGTAATTGAGTACAGTTTTTCCTGTAACGGTACTTTTTGGAGTAGAATTAAATCATAGTACTTTTACTCTTACTTGAGTTAATTTTTAATGAAATACTTTTACTTCGCTACTTTAATTTTCATAACGTTACAGAGTAAAAATAAATTATTATTGAATCAATATGATCAAAATCAATATGAACGACGTGCAGTTAAATTTAAAAGATTCACCAATCAAAAAACAGCAGCTCCAGCAGGAAAAACACTACAGAGATGTCCAGTTTAGTGGAGGAGGACACAGGAGAACTGAACCAGCACATCATCTTTGTTCGTTTTCACATGAACTAAAGAAAACAGCGTTATTATCAGCGGCCAAACACAAAACCTGCTGAGATCCGCTTTCACAGCTCTACTCGACTGAGGCAGCATTAGCCGAGCTAGCTGATGTGAACTAAACAGGTACCATGCTATAATACTTCTGTTTATTAAACTTGAAATATGCTGTGCATATTTTATTACAAGTGTCTGTCAGCTGCTTTAGTTAACAGGTGTCGCCCACAGCCTACAGTTTACCCATTTATACAGCCTAGTTTAGCTGTCGTTTTGGAGATAAACGGTTGTTTACGGCTGTGAGACAAGAAATCTAGTCTAATACAGGATCTTCATAAACATAAACACTGGACAGTGATTCTGTCACGCTGTCATTCTTTAAGCTGACTGGCCTGATCTGATCTCTCCCCACCTCCCCTCCCTCTCTCTCTTTCTCTCTCTCTCTCTCTCTCTCTCTCTCCCCCCCTCACTCTTCCTCTCTCTCGCTCTCTCTTCCTTTTTCTCTTCCTCTGTCTCTCTCTTCCTCTCTCTCTCTTCCTTTCTCTCTTCCTCTTTTCCTCTCTCTCTATCTCTCTCTCTTTCGCTCTCTTCCTTTCTCTCTTCCTCTGTCTCTCTCTTCCTTTCTCTCTCTCTCTCTCCTCTCTCTCTGTTTGTCTGTTTCTCTCTCTCTGCCTCGGTGTTTGTCTTTAACTGTGAGAGGCTGTGTAGCTGTTTAACTGTCTAATGCAGTAATAATGTCTGATTCTGTATGAAGTGATCAGCATGATTACTGGTGAAATATATTACAGTAAAAATCAAAGCTGGGTTAGTTGCTGATGTTGCTGCTGTTTTTAATGGTAGAAATGTTCTGATGGGCAGCAGGACTCTCACTAAAATTACATTATTAATTAAGCAATCTACTCATAAATTTACAGTTTTTTTTTCTTCTAAATGAACTTAATTAAACAGTAACACCCTCTGCACCGTCTTTCAGGGATTCTAAAATACTTTACTGGAAACAGATAAACTAGGACGTTTTATATAATCGTCTAACCATGAAATGCATGCAATTTAATGTAAACCTTTTTCCTTACACAGCTCACAGAAAGGTGTGTAAATGTGCCCTAGCAGAGCAGACTGTGATCAGTCTGAGCTCTCAGAACTTTTTCCCACATATTATCATGTTTTGCTTTAATGTTTTTCTGTACAGATTATTTCCAGTGATGTAGCTGAGTCAGCTCAGAAATATGTTCAGGTTGTGACAGCGGAAATACGAAAAAGTAACTAAGTAACTCAGTACTTAAGTAGTTTTTTAATGAACTACTCATTTACTCTTACTTGAGTAATTTTATTTACTAATACTTGTACTTGAGTAAATTATCACTACAGTAACAGTGCTTGTGCTTGAGTAGGGATTTTCAGTACTCTTTACACCCCTGCTAGATGGTTGTGCCACTCAGGAGCCTGGAGCTTCAATTAATTTATTAATGTGCCATCCACCCAAATTTGCACCAGTACCTCTTATTAATATGAATTATTATCACACCCATAACACCATTAAAAAAAATAAATTGAACTGCAAAATCCAAATTCCTTATATTACACCTCTATACAATTCCAAAATCCAAAATTTGTACTGGAATTCCAAAATCCCGACCTCTAATAAATCTGCATTACGATTATGTTAGTACATAATGACTACTTCATACTGAAACAGGTGTCACATCTATGGATGTATTTCTGTATTAACAGTGTTAGAGATACAGACATTGAAGTGCACTGATCAGACTAATATAATTACAAGAACACAAGGCAGCCATACCTACTGGCATGAGCTCCACCACCAGTTTAGGATAGGCAATGTTAGAGCAGCCTACAGCAGCTTTACAGATTCTAAGGCACTCATCAGGATCCACACAGCCCACCTCATCTACCATGAATAGACAAAAAAAATTACCGTTCTGTTAGCATCTTGGTAGAGGTTAGTAGATACTACACCAACTGACCACTTCAGTACACCTCCTTGTTTCTACACTCATTGTCTATTTTATCAGCTCCACTTACCATATAGGTGCACTTTGTAGTTCTACACTTACAGACTGTAGTCCATCTATTTCTCTATGTACTTTCTTAGCCCCCTTTTACCCTGTTCTTCAATGGTCAGGACCCCCACAGAACCACCTGTTTGTATTATTTGGGTGGTTGATCATTCAAAGCACTGCAATAACACTGATGTGGTGTTAGCCCCCTTCAATGGTGTGTTAGTGTGTGTTGTGCTGGTACGAGTGGATCAGACACAGCAGAGCCACCACCACATTGGTGTCACTGCAGTGTTGAGAATTATCCACCACCCAAATAATACGTGCTCTGTGGTGGTCCTGTGGGGGTCCTGAATATTGAAGAACAGGGTAAAAGGAGGCTGACAGTGTATGTAGATAAACAGATGGACTATAGTCTGTGATTGTAGAATGACAAACTGCACATATATGGTAAGTGGAACTGATAAAATGGACAACGAGTGTAGAAACAAGGAGGTATAGTTAATGAAGTGGCTAGTCGGTGTATGTCTCAAATCAATTAGACGTGCCTGGGTAGAGTGCTCTGCTGATCATGCCAGGCATGACAACGAAGAACATGGGAAGGATCTTCAGGTAGCCTCCCAGCACAGAGCCACCTTTGGCATGCGACAAGTTTTTGGCAGACAAGGACCGCTGCACTATTACCTGCAGATAGTAACACAGCAGCGGCATAGGGCAAAGGTAAGTCACAGCAATATTAACATTAATTGCTCTTAGCAGGAAACTGTGCTGTCTGGCTTGATAAACTGCTTCCCAGCAGACTAACAACTAGAGACGGGGAATACCAGTGATTTTCTTTCAGTAAGACAGAGGTTAGTCTCCCAATATTAATACAGATACCTACACTTTTAAAAGTGTGAGTCTTGTGCACATAAAAAGGAGAACATTTGTACTATCTAAATTGAAATATTACTATTACCCACGGTGTGCAAAAGGTGACAAGTTTTACATGTTTTGCAATTTGATTGATTGATTGATATGGCATTTATCTGCAATTTCTAGAGAACAATTTCAGTTTATTTGCTGAGTTTAAAATCTTGGACATACATAAAACATAAAATATGAATAGTGCCATAACCAAATTTATGCTTTTTATGTAAAATTCAGCAGATAAACAGTGACTGTGTCTTCAAATGTGCAGAAATGTGTTCTCTGTAGCATTTGAGTTAACTTATTTTCACTTAAAATCAACAAATGTCATTTGACCAGGGTGCCTAGACATTTGCATACATCTGTAAGAGCAGAATAAAACATATGCGCAATTAAAGCAAGATTTTCAAGTAACTTGTGTCAGATGATGGTGGATGGACATACAACCGTACACAAAAGTTTGAACACCCTCAAATTAGGTCTTGTTGATTTTGTACCTAAAAATAATTTAACACACCCTCATGAGGGAACAAACTTAAACATGCTATTTTTCTGCAAATTTTAGTGCAGTTTTTATTTGCTAAGTTTAAGAGCAGGAACAATAGGATCACCAATCTGTGCTTGTTGCAGAAGACCCTTATTAGTGACTAGACAGTCTGTAGTAACTTGTATGACACGTTATGTACATGCACCGAGCACCGGCTTCAAACCAGCCCAGAGCTTAGCCTGTTTATCAGGTAAAAAGAGCTTTTCTGCTCTAAAGTTTTGAATTGAAAAGAACTGGCTTAATGTATTCATAACAAATACTCTACCAGAATAACAAGTGGGTTGTTAAGTTGCACTGTTGTTAGTAGGGATGGGTGGATCACAACTGAAGTATCTTTACCTCTGGTCCTAACATTGCCTTTTAAGAAATAGTCCTCAAGTCATATGCAGTCAAGTGACACGTTTTGTTGATGTGTGAAAATAAGTTAACACACTTCTGCACATTTTAATGCACAACTGCTAATTTGCTGAATGTAACATAATAGGGGAAAATAAAACATAAAATATATCCTGTTCAAAAGTTCATGGTACATTTAATATTTTATGTTGTATTTTTTCCAGTATGTTAACTCCTTAAACCCTAGGCTCATTGTTCAGTTAATAATCCTTAGACTTCTTATTTAGCAGGTATTATAAATGACCCTTTATTTACTGTGGAACTCATATATACACTTTGTAGTGTAAGTGTGGGGAACTGAAGAATGTTCCTTCAGGGGTTTATGAGATAAAATCTTAGACACAGATCCAACCTTCAAAAGTGACAGATGCTGGGTGGTTTACCTGGTCAGCGCACCACACCCATGTAGCCAGTACGGTCAGTCCGAAGAGCAGCCCCGGCCAGGGCAAGTCCCCTGTCACCGGGTCGCGGAAGAGATGAAAGGCATCTGGTCGTGGGAGGTGGCATGTAGTGTTAGGAACAGTGATTGCAGGCACAGCTTTTCCATACTGCTCCAGCAGACCCTCATACCAGCCCACTTTAGCAAAAGCTGTTAAGGGAAAGAATGCAGAGCGTTACTAGTTAAGAAAGAGATGTTCAGTAGGGTATATATACATATATATATATATATATATATATATATATATATATATATATATACACACACACACACACACGCACGTATGTATGTATAAAAGAACCCATTTTTCTGACTGAGTGAGTTTTCATTTAGTAAATGAAAATGATTTATTACATTTGAAATAACATAATAATAATGCTTCAAAGTAATAATCACCAGATTGGGAAAGACTCAGAGAACTAGAGGACTCATTTAAATAATGTTTAATATTTATATAATACATATATATAAAAGTATACATTATTATAAATAAAATATAATGTTATTGTTTTAAAAAGCCATCTAAAGCTAAATTCCTGAGCGCCTCCTCTATAATGATGGAAAAGACCTCTTTTTTTTTAAATAAACACATGGACCTTGCAGTCTGGAGTTTCTTCAGCAGGTGCACATATTAGCATGCAAGTCACTTTAGTGTTTGTCATTGAGAGAAGAAACAGCCAAAGACCTCAGGATCTGACTGTACATGACTGAAGTAACTTTAAAAACAAGAGGTTCAAAAGTTTATTACCAAAAGATATCGTGTTACTCAGTATTATATTGTTTCCATTAAAGAATTTCACTGAATGGGTTAATGCTAAAAAAAAGAACACCACTGAGCTGACTTGCAGTAAAGCAAAGAAAACTGAACAGTGTTTTTAATCATTTTCATTACCAATTACTTTATTTAATAAGGGTTAGATTTATACACTACATTGTAGGCATATTTAATATTTTGCTGTTTTTGGCCTTCCTTCCTTGTTTGAATGAAAACTGTAAGTGCAATATTTGACCAGAAAATATATGGTGGCTGAAATTTTGGTGCATCCCTAATAGTCAGTATTATTTAATATATAAAGTGTACATTTCATTTGTGCTTTCATAACAATAGCCTGTTCTTATAGACTGTCTGACTACCTTAAAATACTGCCAAAAGATATGGACTCCTCTCTTAATTATTGCGATCAGCTACACTATCTACGCTATCTATATATTCAAGCACACAGCCATGCAATTTCCATAGACAAATATTGGCAGTAGAATGGGTAATACGGAAGAGCTCAGTGAATTTAAATCAGGCACTGTCATAGGATGCCACCTTTGCCACAAGTCAGTCCATGAAATTTCTGCCCTGCTAGATCTTCACCTTTCAGCAGATGCTATTATTGTGAAATGGAAGCATCTAGGAGCAACAATAGCTCAGCCATGAAGCGGTAAATCATGCAAACTCTCAAAGTGGGGCCTCTGTTGCATCACTCCCTACACTGCCTTTGAAAGCAACATCAGCACAAGAACTGTGCATCAGGATCTTCATGAAATGGGTTTTGACAGACGAGCTACACAGAAGTCTAAGATCAGTATGCACAATGCAGCTGGCTGGAGTAGTGTAAAAATAAGCCACCACTGGAATAACATTTCACTATCTGGCAATCTGATGTTTGGCAGAACAATACCTACCGGAATGGACAGTGCCAACTGTGAAGTTTGGTGGAGGGGGGATAATGGTCTGGGCTGTTTGTCAGGGTTTGGGCTAGGCCCCTTAGTTCCACTAAAGGATAATGTTACTGCTACAGCATACAAAGACATTTTAGACAATTATATGCTTCCAACTTTGTGGAAACCCTTTCCTGTTCCAGCATGTGCCCCTGTGCACAGAGCACTGTCCATAAAGACAAGGTTTATCCTATTCACTGAAGACTCTATAAAAAGGAGTTTGTGTGGAAGAAACTCCAGTGGCCTACACAAAGCCCTTAGGGATGAACTGGAACATCGATTGTGAGACAGGCCTTCTCTCCCAACATCAGTGTATGACCTCAAAAATGCTCTTTAGACTGAAGAGGCACAAATTCCCAAAGGCACACTTCAAAATCTTGTGGGGAGCCTCCCCAGAAAAGTGGAGGCTGCTATAGCTGCAAAGGGAGGCCAACTCCATATTAATACACATAGTTTTGTAATGAGAGGTCCAACAAGCTCATATAGGTGTGACGATCATGTGTCCACATACTTTCAGCCATATAATGTAAGTTACTAAAAGAAATTCACCTATGAACATGAGAGCAAATGCTCCGACTACCATAATGACAGTCTGTAAGGCATCAGTGTAGATTACGGCTGTCAGCCCACCTGCAACAAAACATCAGCAATTAATGGATCCTCTTCAGCAAAAGCACTAGCTGTATAGCAAAGTGTGTGTTATGTGTTATTAGTTACCAGCTATAGTATAGAGTGCTGTGACTACAAGCAGCACTACAGTGGAGACGTACAGGTCCCAACCCAGCGACACCTGAATGAACAAAGCTCCAGAGAAAATGTCTGTCTGGACAGAGCAAAATAAAATAGTGAAAAGTCTTTAGACCTGCAGTACATTTCGGGGCTCATGTATGTCACAGGTTATTACGTCCTATTCATTAACCCCTTAAATTCCCAGGCTTATGACATGTCAGGGCCTATTATTCAGTAACGTAAAATGTAACATGTAAGAGTGGGGAATCCTGGGCCTTTAATGGGCTAAAGGTCAGCCTTACTGATATCTTGGTGAAGATGTAGAGAATGAGAGACAGCACACTCATGTAGATTCGAATGCGCTGGCCCCCAAATCTCTTCCTCAGGTATTCGGGCATGGTGACCACTCCAGCAGAAATGTACACAGGCACAAAGATCCAGCCTAAGGCAACAAGGACCCATGCTGCCTACCATAAACAGCACAAAACTCCCATCAGTGTTGTTGTTTCCTAAATATATTGAAGGTGCACTTTGGCCAAAATAAAAAATGTGATCATTGCTACATCTATTGTAAACATGCTTGTTCGCCTCCTACAGCAGCGTCACAAGCTACTAGAGTGAGATTTTTAGGTTTAACCCCCTTCTGAATGCAGAAGATGGCCGAACATGACGTCTGTATTTCTTAGTCTATAGACGGCTAGGCCAGAAATCAGTATTTCCAGAAAGGATATTTCATCTTTGGTATTTCTTTATCACTGTGGGGAGGACTCCCAATGGTTGCATGATATTTGCATGATGCATGCTCGGTATTTTAGTGAAGAAACACTGATGGATGAAAACACAAAAAGAATAATTCTGTCAAACCAATGACACTGAGGGATGCAATACTGTGTTACAGAATACTGCATAACAAATAGCATATTAAAAGCTAGTTTTAGGCCAGAATGCCCCTTTAAGACAAGACTGTGCAAGTTGTTTGTAAGCTTAATAGTAAAAGCAGTGTAGTGTTAGGTGCAGGACATAGAGCAGTTGCATCAACTTACATTCCACTCAAATCCCCCAACAGCGATTCCACTTGCTGCCCCAGTCCCTGCTAATCCAACAAACAAGCCACTGCCCACATTACTGGACATCAAAGAAGCACCAATCTATGAGTGTATAAAATATCAGAGCAGCCAAATTCATACTTGATTTTCACAACATTCATATACAGCTTGAGTAAAGGACTGTTTATGTTCTGTACTCTTTGACTGAAAAGGCCTAATGTGTGCATGAATGGCCTGCATGCATTACTCTATAATATAGCTACTGTATTTTAACACATACACACATAAGGCTATCATCACCAAAACTGTAATACCAGGAAACTGTTTTATCTCTAGTTCTAGCATGTATATCTTTCTTCTTGATCAACTGTGCCTGAAAACGAGCAATGAAAACAGAAAAACTTCCTGGTGCACATCTGCAGCTAGATGAATGGATAACTACTAGTGCATGTGCATTACAAGACAGATGTACACAATACAGAGTAGCACAATAGAAAGAGACTAGCAAAAACTCACTGGCCACCATGTCATGGATCTGCCTGCTAAGAAGTATCCTCCAACTGTCCCACGGTTAGCCCTGATTGATGACTTTGAAGAAAAAAAAAAAATATGAAAAACAAAAACTGCATAAATTTAAACCAAACCATATATAAATGTGAATGCTTTGGAAAAAAATAGGAGGGATAATGCATCCGTGTATCTACCATCTTAATCACACAAACATAGCAAAAACCAGTGAACAATTAAACATACCCATATTCCCACCGCTAGAACAAACACAAAGTACACCACTATCACCACAATATCAGGAATCTCCAGTTTAAACTTTCCATTCTGCTGAGGCTCCGCAGTGCCCGTTACAAGCTCAGGTGTAGATGTCATTTTAAAAATGCTGCAGAAAAAGAGTGTGAACTTTGAGGCTAGTGTGGATTCAGTCAATCATTAAGCAGGTTTTTATCAAAAATGTTGACTCACCTTATTGGTTATACATAAACCGGAAACATGGCTGAGAAACGTTTCACATGAGGATGTACTGTGAAAGGACTTGTGCCAAAACCTTTTACCAGCCTATCTAACAGGGGAGACATGCTGAATGTATTACTCTAGCTTTCCAATAAAAAGGTTACTGAATGTCTAATTTAAGTCAAAGAGAGAGATCCATAACCATGTAGATTTCAGAAACCTTTAATGACACCAAAATCACAGCAGTGTAAATATGCTTTGTACATGTGAAACAGTATAAATAAGCCAAATGAAGTGAGCCTCGGTCCTTGGTTCATGTTTTCTTCCAGAACTTGCTGTAGTCGTCCACTTTGAAGTCATCCTCAAAGTCATCCTTCTTTGCTTTAACCATTGTCTTTTTAGGACCCCTTTTACGCATCCTGATCTTCCTCTCCTCCTCTGAGAGAGTGGTAATATCCACAGGCATCTAAGGAGAAAATTTAGACCACCCTTTTGTTTATTTAATTTCCATTCAAAATGGCCATTCATTACAATTTTTCAGAATTGGAGGGGGAAAAAAAGCAAAAAACATATATTTAACATATAATTAGACAAAAGCGTTCAATGTGAAGCTCCCAATTGTGTTTGGAAATACTTCGATCACGAGAAGCAGAGATTGTAAGTAACTTCCAAGAATGAACTTAGAAGGTGTGGAAAATTATCCCTGCAGATTTCTTTCAAAAACTGAAAGCAAGACTCCCAAAAAGAACGAAAGCTGTAATAACAGAAAAGGTTGGACACAAAAAATACTGAAAATTTTTGTTATATTTTGTCACTGAGGCTTCTGGATTTTTTTTCTGTCAAATACATGTTTTTTTGCAAATACATGAAAAGGTGGTCTCTTGACTTTTGCAGGGTGCTGTTTATCATCACTGTTGTAACAAAACCTTTCCAAAACACTTCACAAGGGAAAAAATGACCCTTTAATGTAAGTTCATTTAAAGATTTATTAGGTAATTCTGGACCATTTCTACTGGTCATGAAATTTTCACAGAATGTAAAGGGCAGATGTAGTTTTCAAATGATAATTAGAAACAACAGAGAAAAAGGTTTTGATCAGACAGTGGCGACATGAACGTTCAGATGATTTAGGACAACATATACAGCATACCACAAAACATTATACTAACCATTACTATTCTTTTAGGCTCCCTGTATCTGATGTTGATGGTGGACCCGTCTGGACGCACCAACAAGACTGGGTACAACCGCTCATATCTCTGCCTGCCACAGCGCACCACTGAGCTTCTGTTGGAGTTTGACTGAGCGTGCGTGGTGTGAAATGACGATACAGCAACTAAACATCTTTGGGAGATCACTTCCTGAAGACACCTAAGATGGAGGAAAGTCACATAATTCAAGATCTGTATTCACTTGTATTCACAGCAGCAGGGAAAAGAGAGCTTGTTACTTCAGACACAGTCTACTTCAGTGAAAGTGAAAGGGTGACTCAGAGAAACAAGTCAAAGATTACAGACAGCTTTTTATAGAACAATAAAACTTTGATTTATAACTCTGACTGCCAAACTGTGGCTGCAGCTATTTTCTTAACTTTCTGAAAGAGTTGGGCTCACCATGCTCACGCTACATCTGACTGTGAGGTAGCTGGACCTGAAGTTATGATTCTGAAGTTGTATGAAATGATGTGCCTACGCCAAAGGTACTGAAGACCATGGTCACTGATTAAAAAAGCGAACAGTGTCTGAACACAGTTCACGAAAACACAAAAACAACTGATTTTAAAACAGGCTGTTTTGCAGCTTAATTTCAATGGGTAGTGAACAGAACATTAGAACATTAAAGTTCACATACTACGTTTAACATTTTATTTAAAAAAAGCGGGGGACTTTAAGGTTTCTTCTAAACTCTCCGCATACAGTGTTAAACGTGCAGCACTTGTATCACTCCCAAACGATGCAATCAGGCTTTCATGGTTTGCTTGGTATGAATTCTATAAACATAGTTTGAATAAAGCTTCTCTACAACGATGAGTCATCTTACATCTCGTTCTACAAGATTATACGCTTAACAAACACGAGCACTATGTACAGTTTAAAGTAGTCAGTATTAAACCTGTTTAAACCTCCTCTACACTCTGATATTTTAGCTAGGTTAGTCATCCTGGTGATAAACTGAACTTCACTGCTCCCTCACACCAGCATAACGTTAGCTGTGCTAAGCTAACCAAACTGACAGCACCGCTGTTTTATTACTCACCTGAACACACTCCTGCCATTCATCCAGACTTTATGCAGAGCCATTTTCATAACATTGAGTTGGGTTTTTTATCTACTGCATTCCTGAAACGATGCTGGAAAAGAAAAGGTCACCACCAACCACACTAACCATAAGATGTGTTTGTAAAATTTTGCCGTACAGAAACACGGCATAGAGAATGGTTCCTACTGTAGTTCACCACGTAACGAAACATAGAACAAAATGAAAATAAGCTGAACAGAAAATGAAAATAAAATGAAAAACTCGTGGCTGTAATGTATTACAACGACAGCTGTCATTCATTGTGAAACAAAACAGACTGTCTGCCCCACTTCGTTTTTCCCACTACACGTTCATTAAATCTAGCGGATTTGTTAAGGTCGTAACCGTAGGTAGATCTATAGGCGTAACACTTATGATCAAAAATAATCAAACTGGAATTATAGACAAACTGTATAATCTGCTGGTTCTTCAGCAATGATAATTTGATAAGCAAAAGACTGTGCTTGTGGCTATTCACTCTATGGTGAGTGTCAGTCATGTGAGATCATATGGAAAAGAAACACACGGGCATGTATTATCATATGTGAGATACATTTCGAATATACTGTTTCATTTTAAAATGTTTTTACACACTAAAGTACACTAAGCTAAAATAAATTTTTGGCCATTTTCATGTTGATAAATGCACTTTACATATACTTATTTTCTGTATGGGGTACACAATTATTCACCATTCATCATAAACTTTCGTTCATGATATTGTCATTACACCTCCACATTGTTTATTGTTCATACTGCAAACAGCAAAACTGAAAAAAAAAAATCTTTTGAAAAAGAAAAGTAGAATGCACAAATAGAACGAGCAAGTGGAATGGATTTAACTTTCAAGGGCCCACAAGCCCAACACAGAAAAACAAAATTTCCCTGTATAATAATAATGTCAATTTATAATAGTGTCTCATACAAACCCATGAACACTTTACAATGACGGCAAAAAAGGACTTTGAAGAATAATTTGCAGTATGGAAGCTAAGCTGGAAAAACAGCCCATTTTTTTAGATGTCACAAAAACCAAAGTATTTACATATCATTGCTGTTGGAACAAAACCTCATATTTCCATTTTTGTTTTTATTTACTTATTATTATTTTTTTCAGATTTTGAAAATGCCCTTTACAATGTGTTAATATTTCATGGTGAATGGAACAATAGAAATACTCCAGAATTACTTTTTTTTTCCTTTTCCTGTGCAATTGGTATTTTGGAGATATGAGGTTTTGTCACAACAGGGATGATACATTTGCCTGTTCTGCAGCAGTTTAACTCTGCCAGTTCATGATGAAGTTAGTACTGTTTCATCTTGGATTGTTTTTTAAGGCATAATGGAACAGTGATCATTTAGATAGACAGATAGACAGACAGACAGACAGATAGATCTTTATTGATCTTGAAAGGAAACTGCAGAAAAATATATTTAAAAATATGAGGTAAGTTTTAAAAGCACAGGCAAAAAACAATCTGTTAGAGAGGTCATGTGGTTATGAGGCCATAAGATAAGGTCTGTAAATCAGTTAGGACTCTTTTTGGAAGAGTGGAACTCAGGGAAGAATGTGTGACAGTGGGCCCTTAAGTGTGACTCTCACAGTGAACAGCAGGGGGTGCTGTCCTGCCATAACGCTGCGCCAGCCTCTCTGCTTCTCTGTGTCCGGAGGTTATAGATCCCTGCACTGTACCATACAGAGTCTTTATGGTTGCCTCTCCAGCAAACAAAACCTGAAGATCCTGGAACACAAACAACCAAATTATATTCAAATAAAAGGGTGCACACATTTTTAAATATTCTTCTTCTACCCATATTTGCAAATGAACATGACCTTCCATATTTTCAGTACATTTTCAGTGAAAGAATGTTTCAAAAATGTTATTGCCAATACATGTATCCATTCTTACTGTTACTACAGTTATTCATTAGGTTAACTATAATACAGAGTCATGTGACTTCAGTCTTATGAAAAGGCAGTCACCTTGTTAGGGTTCTTAGTGGCCAACAAAGGCTCAGCCAGGACATCCATGACTTTCCCATCTACACCAACAGGGAGGAAAGTATAGGAACCGCGCGTCAAGTTGTTTTTACGCCACTGTGTGCACAGAATACTCTTTGGTGGAGGAATATGTGGATTTCCTAGAGAGACAGAATGAATATCTCATTTCAGATTTTTGTTCTGACAAATTTATAATTTCATAAATTCATTTACATACTTTTGATACTTTCTATAAGTATTAATCAAAACCCTGATAAAAAACAATATGAAGAAAAACAGGCTTATTTAAACACTCTATATCCTACACTGTTCCTGTATTTTATTTTTTCTCTGATGTCCACTTACATTTTATTGTATTTGATGTGCCAAAAACAATCATAATTTATTTTAACATGACAGTTCTTCAACCTCTCTTTATCTGTGCCTTTAAGACTAGTTATCTAACTGATCAGTGCACTGACAAGTTGCCCTGTATCGTGCCCTAATTCCAATGAATAAATGGGACTAAACTACTGTCAAGCTGAATAGGCAGATATAATGTAAAGGTACTAGTTTTTGTGACATCACAAAAACAGTGACTTGAACATGGGCTGTTTCTGTAGTTTAGTATCCACAGATAGACAGTATGGACTTAAATCTGAATTGTACATTTTGAAACTTGACAATGTTTACATAATATATCAGATTACTTAATTCAAAAAACAACTACATTTATTTTCAGATCATGGCCCTTCAAGTTTTGTGAATGAAATAGTTCATGGTTAATTTACCAGTAAAAATCCTGATATGTTCAGTGATGGCACTGGCTAATTCCTTCTCTGTCATGGTTTCAATCAGGTCAGCTATATCTCCAGGACACCAACCAATCAGAATATTGCCAAACCTGTAACACATAAACATTTAAAAATCAAATGTGTCTTTTCGTACCAATAATCTCATGTTACTTTTAAATGAATCTAATTTGCCTGTGCTTAATCATTAAGTGCTTTGCATGCCCCAAGTCTTTCAGCACCTACATGGAAAACAATGCAAATGAGATACTATGAGGGTGTAGGAGCAAGAAATGGAAGTCTGGATCTGCTGCTAGCTTTGTAAATGGTAAGGAGTTAAAATAAAAATGATTTTATTGTCGTTCAACACAGCCGTTACCTTTCCTCAGGTTTCATGACAGTAAACACGTTCAGGTGTTTCAGCCACTCGGTTTGACTGGTGGACACAGATGCAATAGAATCGTCATCCCAAATAAGACTAATGCGACTGACATCCTTTTCCCAGAAGGCTTCCTCATATTCTAGAAAAATCTTAGCCATGTTGCCAAAAGATAGGTTTTCAATCACCTCCATCTTCTCTGCTGGGAGGCTGGGGTTAAAGAGGTTAGCTGCTTCAGCTTTGAGGCAACCTGTGAAAAAAAATATGTGCTTTTAGAGAACTGTGTGAGCCATGTCTCTATTCCATTACCCAAATGAAGAATCAAAAACAAAAGACTTATGCTTTGTTAAACAATAATGTGTGGGCTTGAAAAAGAAGGATGAATTGACCAGGTAAAATTCAGACACATACAGCTGTATGCAAAACTCTGGGCACCTCTGATCAAATTACTTGTGTTGTTCCAGCTTGTAATTTTTTATGTCCTAAATGCCATTCAGAAAGGGAAGTTAAGGAGAACTGTTAAAATCAAGACAAGATCTGGAAACTCAAAAACAATTTCAGAAAAAATCTGCTCGTAGACTGGTCAGCTATGCTAAGCAAAACCCCACATTATCGTCAACTACAAGGATGGGAGAGGTGATGCCCCGGCCCACTACACAGTGTTGTTACACAAACATCTTCTACATGGAGGGGAATCAGAAAACAAATTGATGTCATTAAAAAAAATCAACATCTGAAGTATGCAAAACACTTAGATAAGCCAGGGGCATTTGGGAAACAAGTGCTGTGGACTGACGGGACAAATATTTGGGGATGGAACTTTTTTTTCGACAAACACCAAAGGTATGTTTAAGGAGAAAAAGGAGAAACATTTCAATTAAAGAACACCTCGCCAACTGTTAAGCATCAGTGTGGATCTATTAAGCTTTGGGGTTGTGAGAGTAAAGAAAAGACTCTATTAAATATCAACAAAGCCTGGGAGCTAATATCTGAAGATGAAAAGAGGTAGGATGTTACAACAGGACAATGATGCAAACCATACATCAAAATCAACCATTAACTATTAATAAACAAAAGATAAAGGTTCTTAAACATGCTGTGCATACAAGATGATCTATGAATATTTCTCAACTAGAAGCATTCTGCAAAGAAAAGTGATAAAATCAAGACTAGAAAGATTGTTAGCTGGTTACAAGAACCGTTTCATACTTAAGTTTGTTCCAGAGGTGGTGTTAATTTTTTTTCCACTTACAAAATCAACTAAATGTGACATCTGACCAGCGGTGCCTAAACTTTTGCATACAACTGTTGTTTTATGTGCATAAACCTACTCACCAAGAGATACAGTGACGATTACATGATCTGCCAGAATCTCCGCTCCATCTTCACACACCACACGCACAGGGTATTCTAGGCCTTCTGTACCAGGGAAAGAGCCGTCCCACTCGATCTTTCTTACTGCTTTATTCAGCAGCAAACGCTCCTTGGGGAAATCCTCTGCTAACTTTTCCACTATTTGAAACATGAACCTAAAACAGTGAAACATTAATTTGGACAACAACATTAACCCTGTTTCGGATTAAAGCAGTGACTCAACTAAAAATCGAATTTATCCAATTTTCCTCTTAACCAAAATGTACTTGATAAGTCAAGACATGTTTAGTGTCTCTTCAGTTTATGGAGCTTTGCAGCTAAGGCAGCTAACAAGTAACAAGCTTACAGCCACCAGTTTGCACCGTAAACTAAACGCTTACAGTCGTATGCAAAAGTTTGGGTTAATTTTCTAAGTTAAAAGTTAAAATATCCTCTACAGAGAACACACTTCTGCACAGTTTAATGCACAATTACAGTTTTTTTTGTTGAACTGAACATATTCAGAAGAAAAAACTCATCAAATTCATAGATATTGTGCACTAACATTTGCTGAAAAATACCATATTTACGTTTGTTCTCTGTAGAGGACATGTTAACTTATTTTCACTTCAAAAATCAACAAAACATTTCACCGGGGTGTTTAAACTTTTGCATACAATAAAAGTACGCAAAGATACCTTGCATATGTGAAACCACTAGTAGCAACGATTTTAAAACCTGAGTTTTGTATGTACCGTTGTCCATTTTTAGAGATAACAGTATGCCACAGAGTGTCAGAAACTACATAATCATGTCTATCGATTCAACCTGAAATCAACCACACCATTTCATTTTAATGCAAAAATTACTGTTTTACTGTTACTGTAATCTTACATCAAAATGTAATGACTTGTACCCATCTGTAAAACATCTGAGGTTTGATTACGTCACCATGCACCAGTGGGCATGGAAAAACAATATTAACCAATAATATAATGCTTCACCACCCACTCCGACTACCCTGCCTAAGATGGAGCAAAAATGCTCAGCTAGTTCAAAGATCTGCCCAGATACTGCATTTCAATCTGAAATACTTCAGTGTGCAGAAGAAAAATGCATTATGATTTCCAATTCACACTGACTTGACTTGAGGCAAGTGTGTGATGCTTTAGGCATGCAGTTTGCACAATGCTGACCTGATCCACTCTTTGTTAGACACATTAGCCTCATAGTTTCAGTGCAAAACTAAAGCAGACTTGGGACAGTGAGCCACTGAGTCATCACTTTAAGATTTTAGTTTGAATGTAAACTTGGTCTGATCTGAACATTTTTCCTACCCTTCCACGTTGAGATCATCCCCCATGTTGATGTAATATTGCCATGAATCTGCAGAGACGTTGTGAAGGTCTGAGGCTGCAATGCTAAGCAGGTAGTCTTTCCCAACCAAGGCAAGAACACCCTGCACACTCTTCTTATCAGCCTGCGAGGCCTCAATGACAGCATGAGCTTTCTCTGCAAAACGTTCTCCTAAGCTTCCCCCCGAGATATTTCCACGATCCCGAATGATTCTTTCCCCCGCCTCGTACACATGTTCGGCAAATTCTGTTTCGACTTTGCTTCCGTTGTGTCTGTAAAACACGGTGTTTCCCTCATCAGGGACTTGGCTGAGAAGGCCATACTTTTTTAAAAGACAGTAGAACAGGTTTTCTTCAGATGAACCATGGATATATTGAGCTCCAGTGTCAACCCATGCCTTCCCTGCACAAAACAAACAGATCAATGAAATGTAGGATGGACGTGACAATAATCAGGCAAGGGCTATGTAATGGCAAATGAAGTTCTACGTTCAGCAATTTTATCATTAAAAATAGCCTGCGTCACATGAAGAGTCAGTGCTGTTCACACAAAATACGAGAAGTGAAATCCAGATCATGTGTTCAGGAGCATTTTCTGATTTCCTCTTTCGCAAAACTAGTCCTTGCAGAGACGACCTCAAAACGTTGTAATCATTAGTCATTTTGTTTTTTGTTGATAATACAATATAATAAACTACTATACTATAAACTAATCACAGTATTTTAGATGTTTTATTCAATATTTTAAATATTTTAGGAAGATGTTATTACATGTTAAATAATATACTGTAATTATCTATTTACAATAGCTTTAAAATTTTTGATGAAAATACAAATGTTTATAATAATTTTCAATGCTATACAGCCATTTCAACGGTTATGCAACCGAATTGATTTTACACTATTAAAAACTTTGGAATGGTGAATCCAAACTTGTGAACAGTAGTGTATACATTCATTCAGCAGAGTTTACCTATATTCGCTTTGGCTACTCTGCCTCCAACAGTGTCCGCCGCTTCAACCACAGTGACGTCAGTGAAGCCCAGTTCTTTTAGCTTGATGGCCGCTCCGAGTCCAGCCACACCAGCACCGACCACCACAATCCGAGGCTGCTGGCCGTCCTTCATTACTGATGCGTTTAATAAAGAGATATTTAGGTTTTCATCACATATAAAACAAGGCTGCTCAACTCTGCTCCGACGTCTCATACTCGAAAGCGGAGCAGATCCGCTTTCACTTTGTATCGACTGCGTGCAAATGATCACGCTTGTTTCTTTTACTACGGTGACTCATAGGTAATGATAAAAGAGCATGATGTAGCCTGTATACACCGCTGTTTGCGCACTCTACGCAGTCTGCATTCACCTCGTATACAACACTTGCACGTTGCTTTTCCTTCACAACGAAATATACAAATGAATCTCGCCACTAACCGCGTTTCTCACCAATCTGGTTTAAGTTTTATACACTGTTCACTCTTATAGCTGAGAAATTTTGACAGAAGTCTTGCAGCAAAGGCTGTGACTTGTTAAAAATCTAAAAGGAAATGTAACCCATTATAATCTGGATACACTGATACTGCTGCCGTGTAACTTGTACAAGTAAGTTGTTTCATTGTCCACTCAAGGGAATGGCAGACCACGTGCCTGGAAATGAATTCTCCTCACAGTTTTTGCTAAATTGTTGTTACAGCCATGAACATTTCTTGCAGAAAACGCTGGCTCTAAGTGTATATCACTAAAATATCTCATGACAGTGTACATAGAAAGAAAGTTACAAGAGGATCCACCTGCCAGGAAAAGCCCCCTCTCTTAAATCAGGCTACAAATATGGGCCCAAACATGTATTACTAAATATATGTCATAGTTGTGGCAACAGAAAGAAATTTAAAGGGGGATGCCTTTTGAGGGAGTCCACTTGCCAGAAAATGCACCCCTCTTAAATTTAGTTACAGTCTTAGGAAAAAAGGTATGAAACTGTCACTGGGACAGTACCCCTCTTGTCACTGGGGTGGTACCCTCAAGGGCACATCTCAGCACCTTTAGTCAGTATACATAATGGTATCATGATCCATTGAAATTATATTTTCTAAGTTGTACTGACTCCACACACCCTGTCTCGTCTCTAGGCGTTTTATTTTATTGTTCTGTTTTAAAACATTAGGTTAAGAAGAGGTACAAATACGTACTTTTCCACTGGGAAAAACCTATTTAAGGTACACAATTGGACCTTAAAACCACTGTTGTACCTTTGAGGGCATGTTTACATTATCATTACCTTGATGAGCAAAACATGTACACGCATAGTACCTTTATTTCTAATCGTGTACGTGGTTACTGCATCCTTAAAACTTGCAGTTATCACATGTTGGTCCCAAATATGTGGGACTAAAATCAATTCATGCGTGGATCAATAAAGAGGAATGTTTTAATCACACATATTTGGGACCAGTATGTATTAGCTGAAAGTAATAATAATGTAGCCAGATTTAGGAGGGGTGCATTTCCTGGCAGGTGGACTGCCTTACATAGCATCCCCCACAGCCTTTTATCTGCTGACACATTTTAGTCATACACATTTGTGACCAACATGTGATACTTGTGTTTCATCGATGCAACAACCCCGTAGCCTGATTTAAGAGGGGACGCTCTTCCTAGCAGGTGGACTGACTTAAAAAGTATCGTCTTGTACCTTTTTTTCTATGTACACAGTTATGAAATATTTTAGTGATATACACTTAGAGCCAGCGTGTGTTTTCTGCAATACATTTTCATGGCTGTAACAACAATTCAGCAAAAAACTACGAGGGGATGAACTTCCTGGCAAGTGGTCTGTCATATAAAGCACTACCATTCCCTGGAGTTGACTATGAAATTACTGTAGTAGTATATGTTTGCAAGCAGCAAGTACTTGTAAATTATCTTGTATATGAGGTGAATGCAGACTCAGTGTCATAGGGTGTATATAGGCTCCATTATCCTCTTTTATTATCATTTACGAGTCACTGTAGTTTAGAAGAAATGAGTGTGATCCTCATGTTTTTTTAGCTGGTACAAAGTGAAAGCGGATCTCCTCCGCTTTCGAGTAAAAGACGGTGTGCGAGCTCCCGAGAGGGGGTGCTTCTCCCGGCAGGGGTTCCGAATTCGGCACAACACCTGCCTTAATCTAACCCACCTGATGCTAAGGCAAGGCCTTCAAGAGCATCTGAGAATCTGAGTCAGGTGGACTGGAACTGAACTCAGAGTAGTAGAGCATCTGCCCTGTATATTTAGTGTATTCTGCGCTCTAGCATATCCAATTCATCTCAGGTTAAATGGAAGAATGCAGGTCATGCAATTTTCCACTTATCCCAAAAAGAGAAAGTGGAAAACAACTCTGTGTCCAATGCCTGCTTAGTTAGTTGTGCCCTGTAGATGTGGGTTGTGCAGTTAAAAAGTAATGGAAGACTATGGACTTCTACTACATTAGCCTCAAACACTAAACAGCTAATCAGCTTGGAAATTGTGTACTTTTTATTTTTTTGGTGAACCACTTCTTTAATGATTATTGGAGAGTTATTATAAGAATGTAGATTGTATGTAGTTTCTTATCCTCCAGTGTATATTTCATTTTTTCCACCTGAATTTACATGCCCAAATCGTAAGGCAAATTATTCAGTAACTGCATGAAATTTTTTTGGTAAAAGTTCCCCTCAAATTAACAGAAAATGTGTTTTATGATCATATACATAATGCTTTATGCTTACAATTTACTGCTGAAAGCCGAAAATCAAAGATGCTTTTAAAATTACATTACCCATCTATTTGACTGGAAAGAAGACAGTTATATGACACCCACCTTTTGAATGATCTTATGAAATATGAAAGTGAAAGCCAGATCACACATTTGTTATTAAAGTGTTATGCTCTTTAAAAAGCTCAGGACCTATAAAAAAGATCAGCCATTCCAGTCTTGTTTGCAGTCTGAAATTCAACAGTACAAACTTAAACACAATAATTAAAGAAGCCTACCTGTAAGAAGGTCTGTATTGTTGAACGAGCTGACTGAGCTGAGGTAAAACGCTGCACCGCTCTGCAGGACACAGAGAATGATTCAGCCCTTTTATTTCAAACTGTCTGCAGAGAGGACGGCTCTGATTTTCAGAGTACAGTAATACTGCATGCGGGAAAACCTGCAAATGGGAGGGGCATAACCCAAATGGGCGGGTGCCAAAAGGGAGTACGTCATGAGAGTGTCATCATCTCCAGAAACTGTAGCAGCATTCAGTTTTTTTAGACATGAAAAGAAAGACTGGTAAAGAAACTCCTCTCAGCAGCCACTATGTTTTTATTACTTTTTCACTACCCTCTGGTTTAACCCCGATGAGCGCTTTGTAATAAACTTGATCAAAATATCACAATTGGGCTCTGTTTTGTTTTTGTCTGTTTCATTTTTAATTCTGGTATGTGAATTGAGATGTTATGGATCCTAATGCTTTTTATGTTCGTGTATGTATAATTATTTGCAATAATTATAAAGCTGCACTATTCAGTGGACTGGCCTGTTAACAATTTTCTGGCACTGGAATGAAAGTAAATTACGTTTATCATGCCACTGGCACATTCTGGCCACATGTGGAATATGCCAGATGCCATTCTCTGAGAGGAATATGCCAGTCTCTGAGAGAAATATGCCAGTCTCTGAGAGAAATATGCCAGTCTCTGAGAGGAATATGCCACTCTCTGAGTGAATATGCCAGTCTCTGAGAGGAATATGCCAGTCTCTGAGAGGAATATGCCAGTCTCTGAGAGGAATATGCCACTCTCTGAGTGAATATGCCAGTCTCTGAGAGGAATATGCCAGTCTCTGAGAGGAATATGCCACTCTCTGAGTGAATATGCCAGTCTCTGAGAGTAATATGTCACTGCTGAGTGGAATATGCCAGCGAGTGAAATATAGTGGAGTATGCCACTATTGAGTGGAATATTGAGGACAGTGTTTTTCCCTTTTCTGTGCGCTGTTCTGTGCTGAGTTTAATAAAGCCGAGCTATAGACGGACATTTCGATGAGTTTCTCCTGAGGACACGCTACCCTACCATATTAAAAGGTAAACGTTTTATAGTATTGACATAAGCACTAAGTTTAAACCAAGTCGTAAAAGAGGCCTGGACCCGCTAGAGTGAAGTCTGTTTGCGTACATTTGTTTTAGGCTACTAGCAAAGCGTTTGACAGAATGCAAACTTTTTGGGAGCTAAGACCAACCTACTTGTAGTTATTGTAGGATCTCCTATTTGAAGTTGGTCTAGCCTTCAGGAACACACAGCTACTTGGATTTTCCTAACAGCCTTCGGGTCTGTTTTGGGTTTTCCAAACCCAAAAACGCGATGCCATCTTTGTGCCTGCGAGACGAAACACAGTCTAAACAGTCTTGAAAGTTAGCAGAAAACGACTTTTACTGACCATCACATGTAGCGTGGCAGTAATCCAACACTTTATTGTGAGGTTAATTCTTCTCTCGGTATGTAACGTTAGCATACTTCCGTTAGCAGAATCTCTCCGTGCTGAACTGAAACTTAGCTAATGCTCCTCAGTGTTTACAGTCCTGCGCTAATATTCGGTTGGTCACTAGGGGGCACCAAAACACAACATTACCATCAATCTGCTGCGGTCATGTTGACCCGTCCAAACTCGCAGTTGCTTTGAATTTGTAAAGCTCTGATAAGAAAGGCTTAATACGTTTTTTAGTAAAAGTAACGAAGACACGTTAACCAGCATAGACCAGCATGGCTGTGTTTTGGATGCTGGTATGCTGGTCTGCAGTGATGGAAGTCATCTGCAAAACCAGCATATCTTGTTTTGGATGCTGGTCAGCAGTAATGGAAGTTATTAGGCTGGTCACCTGCAAAACCAGCATATCTTCTGTTTTGGGTGCTGGTATGCTAATCAGCAACAATGGAAGTTATTAGGCTGGTCACCTGCAAAACCAGCGTATGTTGTGCTTTGGATGCTGGTATGCTAGACAACCAGCATGGCCGTGCTGGATGACCAGCTAAACTTGCACCAGACCAGCATGCATGAGCTTAGACCAGTATAGAATGCATGCTGGTCTGTGCTATTTTTTCAGCAGGTATATAGTTTGTATAATGAGGCCCACAGAATAAAATTTGTGTACTAACAAAACTTTGGGATTAAATGGGTTAATGTGCAATCAGTCAGCAACAGTCTAATGACATCAAAAATAAATCAAGCTTTAGTGCTAAGAAGTGTTGGTTTAGGGGCTTAAACAGAAATGGATGATGAAAGCCATAGTCTAAACCAGGTGCCCAAACTTTTGGGGGCCAAAGTGCAATGTTTGCGGTGGGCTGAGGGCCAGAATAACAAAACAATATACAAATAAATAAGAAAAGAAGGTTTCAAAAGGACAAAACAGGCAGAGTATGACACTTTGTTACTAAAATGCTTAAAAAATAGAATTTTGAAAGAAAAAAAATATTTAATAAGCTTTACATAGTATAGAAATATGCTTGTTTTCTCATGAGAGATGGTGGGGATGGATCACTTTCTAGCAGGTCAAATCAAATGTCCTAATATAATAGCTGAACAGGTTAGATCAGGGATGCAAAAAACATTGTGCCATGAGTCTACACTGTTCAAATACTATTTTAAGCACAGTGGCAGAGATTAATAGAAGTACTGCTGATTAGTTCAGTAGGGTTGCACTCTTCTTATAGCCTTTTAGATGGTTCTTGTTGGGATTGTTGGCTTCAAGATGCAACCATTTCATCTTTTTATAAAGCTTTTTGCCTGCTTATTGTTTTATTTGCATTTCTGCATTCTACCATTAGGTTAAATTAGCAATAATAATAATATTTTTTTAAGCTGGGATATGGGCTCACTTTATGCTGCTTACAGAAAAGCAGTAAGTTCAAAATCTGTACCTAAAATTAAATACCCTGCCTAACTGGGCCCTTGAATGAGACATATCTGTAGTAAATTTAGTAAGGTAGTAGTTAATTGTTATTCCTATTTTCTGGGTCAGGGAATCCTTTTATTGCCATTTTAAACTCCAGCTGGACCAAAACACCATTTAAAATGTTCATATGCTATTTCGGTGGTTTAACCAGGGGTGTCACTAGAGGTTCATGCATAAGGGGGGGCTAAGCCTGTACTAGAAGGATCTAGGGGCATGGTCCCCCAGGTTTTTTTTTTTCAATGGCCCCAAATGTCTGCTCATCAACTTTTAGAGTAGGAACAGAAAATGTATCAAAAATTACTATTTGGTCATATTGGCATACAGTGGATTTGTCTCTTTATGGTTTGTATTAAGTACAGAGCCACTATGTCTTAAACACTATTTCTTGCAAGCTAACAAGCAACCAAGTAAATTATGTTCAGATAGCAAGATATACGAACCATAATTTGCCACAAATTCATATAGTAGGAGGGTAAATTCACTTATATAACTACTTACTGTTTCAGCACAGCAGAGGCAGTGCTGCAATAGAGCAGCAGCAGCGCCTCCCCCAGGTGACGCCCTGCTCTCTCAGTATATTGTGAATGAACTAGTAATGTTCATTAATTTGGGAAAGGGGGCTAAATAACATTTAGAGGGGTCTAACGCCTGCCTAGAACTGGCCTAGTGATGACCACAAGTATAGCAGCATATGATTTTCACTGTTTAGTGCATTTTCAAACTAGATACCATGTACTGCATCCTCTGTGCTCCTAGTAATACATTTCTCACCTAAATGTGTGGAAAAGTGTTTTAAATTAGGTGATTTTTGTTCCCAAATACCTTCAATTGTCAATGTCATCAGATTGTACGAAAATAACCTGTTTGCTCTGATTTGCAGTGCGCAAACGTTGTTTAAACGTGCAGAGCCCGGGCAGTAGAGCAACCACCCATTCACTCATTCACTGCTCAAACTAGCCTTTTGTCGAGCCATTGCCAAATGAAGCAGTGACCTTATTGTAACAGTAATTTGTCACCGGTATAATTGATCATCTTTCCGTTTTTATTGTGTGCAGAGTCAGTTTCTTGTGATTCACAGGCAGCAGGGGGCTTTGAGAGGGGCTTGCCCAGAAGGTAGGTGAATGTGAGTGATAAATGATGTCTGAAGGGGAGAATAGACCTGCCTTGTAGGCCAAAGATGGTGAAGACAATGCACAGACATGAGGCTGTGTCTGCAGAGTGGTCAGGCCATGACTGCACCTCAGCTCTTGCTCTCACATATTGCTACTGACAAAACAAAACCTTGTTACTCCATTTTTTTTACATCACTTACCATAGCAGGTGCCTTTATACGGTGTGAACATTTCATGATGAATGAACCAGTAGAAACAGCCCACAATTACTTGAAATAAAACCATTTTATTACAACAGTGATGATATGTTTTGACGACAGTCTGAAATGTGCTACTGAACTTTCATTTCAGAATAAAGAAGCCACACACAGGCTGCTTATTCTAATACTTCAAGAAATGATCATAAATCACACAGTTATGCTTCATTGTTTAATTACAGACTGATCAGGTAACTCCAAATGACTGATCAGTAACTGGAGGCGTGCCTGGGAGAGAGAAGAGGATAGTGTATGTCTTGGGCAGGATCAGTGTTATGTTCTCAGGGTGCAGTTTTCCACTGTGAGCTGGAATGGCTTGTCAGGGCAGGACTGTCCAGGGGCAATGTCTGAAGTGAGTCCTCTCTCTTGCTCACACAGGGCTGGTTTTATACAATATTGGGATGTGCTATCGTACATGAGTCATGTACGCATTTTATGTATATATATATATATATATATACCTGAATGTAACAAAAAAAAACACAGAAGTATAATATCAAATATCTATTAGTGCTTAATTTGTTCACTTTTTTGTCCACTTTTTTACTTTCGTGCACCTACTGCCACTTTAAATCTTTCATAATCCCTATCCTAAAACCAGCAGTAACAGCTGTGGCCACTTAACAAAAGCTCTTCCTGATATGCAACTAATATGGCTAAAAGAAGAGATATTTCTAAGGGATCTAAAAATCCTGAAAAACAACCCCATAGCATTATCCCTCCTTGAAGTATACACTTGGCACAGTGCAGTCAGGCAGGTAACGTTCTCCTGGCCAAACCCGGACTCGTCCATCAGACTGCTAGATAGAGAAGCTTGATTCTTCACCCCACAGAATATGTTTCCCCTGCTCCAGAGTCCAGTGGCGGCCACTTTACACTACTCCATCTGACGCTTGGTTTTGTGCTTGGTGATGTAAAGCTTGCAAGCTGCTGATTGGCCATGGAAACCCCTGCCATGAAGCTTCCAGCGCAGTTACAGAGTCAGCAGAGCGTTGGCAACTTTTATGCACTATGAGACTCAGCACTCGGCGACCAGCTCTGTTACTTTACGTGACCTCTCCGGGCTGAGTTGCTGTGGTTCCTAAACGCTTCCACTTTTCAATAACACCACTCACAGTTGATCGTAATATAGGAAGGAAGAAGTTTCGCAAACTGACTTGTTGCAACGGTGACATCCTATTACAGCACCACGCTTGAGTTCACTGAGCTCTTTAGAACGACCTATCTTTTCACAAATGTTAGTAAAGACAGACTGCATGGCTAGGTGCTTGATTTTATACACCTGTGGCAATGGGACAGAATGAAACATCTAGATTCAATGATAAAGAGGTGTGTCCCAAGACTTTTGTCCATGTGTTGGTATATCTATACTAATATGGACCTAACACTTCTGTATAAGAGTGTTTCAAGTCAACAGGTTTTCTATTTTTTCTAAGAAAAAGAGAAACAGGTCAAAATCTATTGTCCATGGTAGCTGACCACATATTATAGATGCAGCAAATAGAGATTAGGTTGACAAATGCTGGAATATTCCTGTAAAGGCTGTTGCCAATACCAGTTAAACAATTCCCAAGCGGCTGAAGTGACTCCAGCACTGTGTGGGTTCCCTTCTCCCTCCTACAGTAAACTAGAAATGAACCACCAACAATGGGACATGTGTTTTGAGTCTAACTGGAGCCATTGTGAGACTATCTGCTCTGTCTCTGTCTCTCTGTCTCTCTTTTGGTCTCTCTCTCAAACAGGAGATGGCTCTGCCAGTCATGTCATCTGCTACAGTCAGTGCCTCACCAAACTGGCATGTCAATATTTGTAGCACCAATTAGGACCTGCTGGAGAGAAAGGCATGATTGTACGCTCACTCATGCACTCATTATGGCCCAACGGAGCTGCGTGCTAGTGCAGGGAATCAAAAGGAAACCAGAGATGCCCTGCCACTTGTTCTCATCTTCTCACACAGAGGGAAGACCATTAAGCAATGATAGCAGAGCACATCCATTCACAGGCTCTATGAGGCTTTCATTTAAGTCTAATGACACTTTCTCAAAGCACACTTAGCTGCTGCCTCTTTTATGGTGCTGGGTATGAATGTCTAGTGCTAGCTACAGCATGTCTCTTGTTTTAGCGTTTTCCACACTGTTACGTGCGTGGGGGTGGGGAGGGGGTCTACTTTTATCCCACTCAAAACTCTTCTTTTAAACCAGTAACTGGTGCTTTAAAGAGGCACTCTGGCCTTTTTTTTAAATGTAATAGTGGTTTGTTGCTGTCTATGTACTGT